TGGTATAAGCTGTCACTGGATCTACCATTCTGGAGTCTGGAGGACAGTGGCCCTCTTCTCACAGCTCCACTTGGCAATGCTCTAGTAGGGACTCTTGGTGGGGACTCTGACTCCACATTTCCCTACTGCACTGCCCTATCAGCGGTTCTCCATGAGAGCCCTGCCGCCACAGCAAACTTCTGCCTGGACATTCAGGTGTTTCTATCTATCCTCTGAAATCTAAACAGAGGTTCCCAAACCCTACTTCTTGACTTTGGTGCACTGGCAGGCTTAGCACCATAAAGAAGCTGCTAAGGTTTGAGGCATGCCCCCTCTGAAGCCATAGCCTGAGCTGTACATTTGCCCCTTTCAACCACAGCTGGAGTGGCTGAGATACAGAAAACCAATTCCCTAGGCTACAAAGAGCAGAGGGGCGCCTGGGCCTAGTCCACAAAACTTTTTTTTCCTCCGAGGCCTCTAGGCCTGTGATGGAAAGAGCTGCTGTGAAGGCCTCTGACAGGCCCTGGGGACATTTTCCTTTTTGTCTTTGGGATTAATATTCCACTCATTACTTATGCAAATTTCTGCAGCAAGCTTGAATTTCTTCTCAGAAAAGGGGGTTTCTTTTTATCATATTGCCAAGCTGCAAATTTTTCAAGCTTTTATGCTCTGCTTCCCTTATAAATCCTAATGCCTTTAATAGCACCCAAATTATCTCTTGAATGCTTTGCTCCTTACACATTTCTTCTGCCGGATATACTAAGTCATCTCTATCAAGTTCAAACTTCCACAAATCTGTAGTGCAGGGGAAGAATGCTGCTAGTCTCTTTGCTAAAGTAAGAGTCACCTTTTCCTCAGTTACCAACAAGTTCCTCATCTCCACTTGAGATGACCTCAGCCTTGATTTTATTGTGCACATGATTATACACCCATTCAACAAGTCTCTAAAAGGTTCCACAAGATACAATTTCAACAGGTTGATCCACTAGAAGTCTGTAGTTCAAGGCCAGCCTGGCCATTATGGTGAAATCTTGTCTATACTACAATTCCAAAAATTAGCCAGGAATGGTGGCAGGTGCCTGTAATACCAGCTACTCAGGAGGCTGAGCCTGAAGGGTCACTTGAATCTGGGAGGCAAAGGTTGCAGTGAGCCAAGATCATGCCACTGCACTCCCTCCTGGGTGCCAGAGTGAGACTCCATCTCAAAAAAACACAAACAAACCCCAAACTCAAATTGTACAGTTTATTCCCTTCTTCCAGTTTTCGCATCACACATACATTAAAAAATAAACTGCTTAACTTCCCCCACCTCCCCAAGGCCCACAGGCCCTGCCCAACCCATCGTCCTTTCCTGCTCCCTCTCTCTCATTCCTCATTCTGCTCAAGCCACACGGACCTCCTTGCTGTTCCTCCAACACGACACACACACTCCTGCCCCAGGGCCTATGCATGGGCTGTGTCCTCTGTCCGGAAAGTGCTTATACCCCCAAATACCATCCTTCTCACACAGGTTACCCCTTTCCATTAAGACACTGGCCAAGGCTGGGCATGGTGGCCAGTGTTTATAATCCCAGCAATTTCGCAGGGTGTGGTAGGAGGATCACATGAGCCCAGAAGGGTTTGCTTTTGTTTTGCTTTTCATTTTGTTTGAGACAGAATATTGCTCTGTCACCCAGGCAAGAGTGCAGTGGGTGATTTCAGCCAAGTGAAACCTCCACCTTCCAGGTTCAAGTGATTCGGCTGCCTCAGCCTTCTGAGTAGCTGTGACTGCAGGTGCCTGCCACCATGCCCAGTTTTTTTTGTTGTTGTTGTTGTTTGTTTTCTGTTTTGTTTTCAGACAGAGTTTTACTCTCATTGCCCAGGTTCGTGTTCAGTGGCAGTATCTTGGCTCACTGCAGCCTCCGCCTCCCAGGTTCAAGCGATCCTGCTGCCTCAGCCTTCCAAATTGCTGGGATTACAGACATGGGCCACCATGCCCAATTTTGTATATTTAGTAGAAACTGGATTTCTCCATCTTGGTCAGTCTGGTCTCGAACTCCCAACCTCAGGTGATCCACTTGACTCCCCCTCCCAAAGTGCTGGGATTAGAGGTGTGAGCCACCAACACTGACCAATATCTTATAATTAAAGCATAAATTGAAAACGGAGGCAGTTTTATCCACTAGAGGTCTGTAGTTCCAGGCCAGCCTGGCCATTATGGTGAAATCCTGTCTCTACTATAATTACAGAAATTAGCCAGGCATGGTGGCTGGTGCCTGGAATACCAGCTACTCAGTAGGCTGAGCCACAAGAGTCACTTGAGTCTGGGAGGCAGAGGTTGCAATGAGCTGAAATCATGTCACTGTACTCCCACCTGGGTTACAGAGTGAGACCCAGTCTCAAAAAAAAAACCCAAAAACTCAAATTGGACTGTTTCTTCCCTGCTTCCTTATTTCCCATCACACTTACATTAAAAGATAAACTGCTTAACATACCCCACTTCCCCAAGGCCCACAGGTCCTGCCCAACCCGTCCTCCTTACCTCCTCCCTCTCTCCCACTCCTTACTCTCCTCAAGCCACAGGGACCTCCTTGCTGTTCCTCCAACCTGCCAGAAATAGTCCTGCCCCAGAAACTTTACATGGTCTGTTCCCTCTGTCTGGAAAGTGATTAACCCCCAATACCTTTCTTCTTACACTGGTTACCCCTTATTATTAAGATCTTGAGCCAGGCTGGGCATGGGAGTACATGCTGATAACCCCAGCAATTTCGCAGGCTGAGGTAGGAGGATAATATGAGCCCAGAATTGTTTGCTTTTGTTTTGTTTGAGACAGAATCTTGCTCTGTCACCCAGGCAGGAGTTAAATGAGTGACTTCAGCTAACTGAAACCTCCACCTTTCAGGTTCAAGCGATTCTACTGCCTCAGCCTTCTGAGTAGCTGGAACCACAGGTGCCTGCCACCATGCCCATTATTTTTTTTTGTTTTTTAAGACAATGTTTTACTTTTGTTGTTGCCCAGTTTGGAGTTCAGTGGCATGATCTTGGCTCACTGCAAACTTTGCTTCCCAGGTTCAACTGATTACCGTGCCTCACCTTCCCAAATGGCTAAGATTACAGGCATACACCACCATGCCCAGCTAATTTTGTATATTTAATAGTAACGGGATTTCTCCATCTTGGTCAGGCTGGTCTGGAACTCACAACCTCAGGAGATCCACCTGCCTCAGCCTACCAAAGTGCTGGGATTAAAGCCATGAGCCACCAACCCCGACCAATATCTTTTCATTAAAACCTAAATTGGAGGCAGAGACAGGTAGATCCACTTGAGGTCAGTAGTTCCAGACCTGCCTGGCCATTATGGTGAAACCTTTTCTCTATTACAATTACAAAAGTTAGCTGGGCATGGTGGTGGGTGCCAATAATACCAGCTACTCAGGAGGCTGAGCCACAAGAATCACTTGAATCTGGGAGGCGGAGGTTGCAGTGAGCTGAGATCACACCTGTGTGACAGAATGAGACTCCTCAAAAAAAAAACACCAAAAATTAAATTGGATTGTTTCTCCCCTGCTTCCTTATTTCCCAGCACACTTACATTAAAAGATAAACTGCTCAACATCCCTCACCTCCCCAAGGCCTGCAGGCCCTGCCCAACAGGCCTTACTTCCCTTCTCCCTCCCCTCCTCCCTCTCTCTCCCCCCCACCCTGCTCCAGCCACAGGGACCTCTTTGCTGTTCCTCCAACAACTGAACATTCCATGGCTCCATGAGCTCACTGCCCCACTTCAACCTGGGCCACCCACCAAGGGGCTCTGCCTTGGTCTGGAAGCCCAGGGACCCCTGCAGACGCACACAGATACACACACACACACACACACACACACACACAGATACACACACATGCGCTCGCACAGTCATCCAACAGTTGCAAGCAGCTCCTGAGGCTGAGGAGTTCTGCTCTCTCCTGGGAAGCTTCTCTGGGAGAGAGCAGCCCCAGGGCACACAGGCTGGCGTGGCGGTACCTGGAAATCCCAGCAGGGACAGTTTTCAAGGAGACGCACCCCCCACAGTGTCTGAGCAGGCCTGAAGCACCGTGGGGATCCTTGGGGATCGCCCTGCGCATCCCTGAAGCTCCGCTGCAGCTTTTCTCAGCCTGGTCCCGCCCTGCTGGACTCCTGAAATCGCGAGACCCTGGCGACGATCTCGGGGAGAGGGGGGCCATCGCCTAAGGTCCAGGCACTTCCACTGAAGGCCGCTGTTCTGCCAAGCCCCTGAGACGGCCGTTCCCCAGGCCACAGGGACTGTCACTGTGATGCGAGCCGCGGATGGACGCTAGCGCTTGTGATGCGCCACTTGCACATGCACATTGGCGTGCCTGGCTGGCAAGCGGCAACGTGGGCGCTCTGTGGCAGGGGAGCCTCAGTGGCACCAGAAAATGCTGGTGGCGGTGTCCCAGGCGGCCCCAGGGAAGGAGGCTGCCTGCCACAAGCTGAGCAGGAGCCCGACCGTCCTGACCTCAGTGTCCTCAGTGGCTCCCTGAGCCGACTTTCCTGTTTGGGTCAGCTGGATGGGAAGGTGCTTGATACCGTGAGGTGGGCACTAGGGTCTGCTCTTCCCACTGGATTCCGGATCGGATGGCGTGGGCAGCGATTGGGTCCCGCAGGGCTGGAGATTCAGTCTGGTGATGTGTGGCGGGGGTCAGTGGACCTCAGAAAGATGCCTGAGACCCTCCGGGAGGGTGTCAGCAGAACGTTGCCCGGCTCCATGAGCTCACTGCCCCGCTTCGACCTGGTCCACCCACCAAGGGGCCCTGCCTTGGTCTCCAAACCCTGCTTCTCAGCGCTGCTGGCCGGAAAAGATGTGAACAAAGACAAAGCGGCCTGCCCAGCCAGCCGCAGAGGTGGCCACACCCGCAACTGGCCTCCCCCGGGGGCGGATCTGATGGAGAGAGTATCTCAGAAACTTTCTGGTGCAAAGCCCAATCCCGAGACGGATGTCCAGTTATGCCGCTGAGGACCTTCACGGAAGCCAAGCACAACATGCTAACGGATCTTAGTCACTTTATTGTTTTCACGGAAAACATCATCATCTTGCTACAATGTGTTTTCCTCAAATTGCTTTGACTGCCTATATAGGGAGACCCGTTGTCACCTTGTCCTGTGGAGAGAAAAACAATTCCGGGTGCTAAAAATGCAGATTCAAACTCTCATGTGCTGTGCCCTCTGTCTAGAAAGTGCTTAGCCCACAATTCCTTACTTCTTACACTGGTTACCACTTTCTATTAACATCTTGGCCCAGGTTGGGCATGGTGGCACTTGCTTATAATTCCAGCAATTTCGCAGGCTGAGGTAGGAGGATTACATGAGCCCAGAAGTGTTTGCTTTTGTTTTGCTTTTTGTTTTGTTTGAGACATAATCTTGCTCTGCACCAAGACAGGAGTGCAGTGGGTGATTTCAGCCCACTGACACCTCCACTTTCTAGGTTCAAGAGATTCTCATGCCTCAGCCTTCTGAGTAGCTGAGACTACAGGTTCCTGCCATCATGCCTAGGTTTTTTTTTTCAGACAGGGTTTTACTCTAGTTGCCAAAGTTGGTGTTCAGTGGCAGGGTCTAGTCTCACTGCAACCACCGCTTCCCATGTTCAAGCAATTCTACTGCCTCAGCCTAACAAATGACTGTGATTACAGGCATGCAACATCATGCCCAGATAATTTTGTATATTTAGTAGAAATGGGATTTCTCCATCTTAGGTTGGTCTCAAACTCCCAACCTCGGGTGATTCACCTGCCTCAGCCACCCAAAGTGCTGGAATTACAGATGTGAGCCACCAACCCCAAACAATATTTTTTATTAAAATGTAAATTAAAGGCTGGGACAGGTTGATCAACTAGAGGTCAGAAATTCTAGAACAGACTGGTCATCATGATGCAATTCTGTCTCTACGACAATTACAAAAATTGGCCGGGAATGGTGGCAGGCGCCTGTAATACCAGCTACTCAGGAGGCTGATCCTGAAGGGTCACTTGAATCTGGCAAAAGTTGCAGTGAGCCGAGATCACGCCACTGCACTCCCTCCTGGGTGCCAGAGTGAGACTCGATCTCAAAAAAAAAAAAAAACAAACTCAAATTGGGCAGTTTATTCCCTGCTTCCTGATTTTCTATCACACCTACATTAAAAGATAAACTTCTCAAAAAAACCGACTCAAGATGGCACTGTGAGAACAACCCAGGATTGGAGCTCGTGTTGAATCCACAAACGGTGAGTTAAAGCTGCATTTCCAGACTGATCTTTGTTGCCCACAGAACGGGGAAACTCCCAAGTATAAAAAGACACGGGACGCCAGGAAGTAAGTCTGCGGTGGCCGGCCCTACCCAGCAATCCCTACAGGGCGCGCTTGTCTGGGTGCCTTGTTGAACCGGCAACCTGAGACTTGAGAGGGCTGCACTTGAGACTGAACGAGACTTGGACAGTAGCCCAGCCCAGGGGATTGCAGGGACAGATCGTTTGGGATACCCAGTGTGACGAACAAAAACCGCGATTTCAAACTATCCCGAGCAGATGGTCCGAGATGCTCTGTGGGAGAGGGGCGTCCACCACTACCGAGGCAACCCGCCCCAACTGAGATACACGCCCACTGCTGACGCAGCCAGCCATTGCCGAGGCAACCTGTCCCTACTGAGATACACGCCCACTGCTGACGCAGCCTGCCGTTGCTGAGGCAACACGCTACAATGAAGAGACTCCGCCGCAGGGCATGGCAGAGACCACAGCAGAGCCTGCAGGAACAGGGTGAATCACACAACAGCAGGGCGGAGCCTCGGCAACCAAACAGTGGCTAGTCTGCCTTCTAGCTGAACAGGACACCTCATCGAACATCCAAAAATAAAGCCCAAACCCCTCAACACAGAGGATTTGAGAAAAAAAGGGTTTTTTTTAATGAGCTCTGTTGCAGCAGAATCAAACATAGCAACCTAACAGCCCTGAAGGAACAACAGAGCGCACAGCTCAGCAATTAAACCCCTATAAAGTACAAACTGTCTCCTCAAGCAGCTACCTGACCCCTCTATATCCAAAAGACTGACATTAGGCAGGCATCATCCTGGGACAAAGAGAGCAGGAAAAGAAACTGGTAGCATCCCTCACTGTGCCACAGCTACTAGAGGTGCACCCCAGACAAGCAGGGTCTGGAGCGGACCTCAGCAGTCATACAGAGAAGGGGCTAGACTGGTAGAAGGAAAACCAAGCAACAGAAATACTTCATCCTCAACATTCTGGGTGTCCACTCAGAGACCCAATCGAAAAGTCAGCAACTACGCAGACAACCAGCGGACAAACCAACAAAGATGGGAAGAAACCAGCGCAAAAAGGAGGAAAACACCCGAAACCAGAACACCTCGCCTCCTAGAAAGGTCCAAAACTCCTCACCAGCAAGGGAACAAAGCTGGACGGAGAATGACTGTGACGAAATGACGGAATTAGACTTCAAAAGATGGATAATGAGAAACTTTGGTGAGCTAAAAGATCATGTATTAAATCAATGCAAATAAACTAAGAACCTTGAAAAAAGATTTGAAAAAAGATTCGAGGAAATGATAACAAGAATGGATACCTTAGAGAGGAATATGAATGAATTAAAGGAGCTGAAAAACACAATATGAGAAATTCGCGAAGCAAACACAAGTTTCAATAGCCGAATTGACCAAGCAGAAGAAAGAATATCTGAAGTCGAAGACCAACTCAATGAAATAGAATGAGAAACCAAGATCAGAGAAAAAAGCGCAAAGAGGAATGAACAAAGTCTCCAAGAAATGTGGGACTATGTGAAAAGACCTAACCTACGTTTGATAGGTGTACCAGAAGGGGACGAAGAGAATGAATCCAAGCTGGAAAATACTCTTCAGGACATCATCCAGGAAAATTTCCCCCACCTAGCGAGACAGGCCAACACTCAATTTCAGGAAATACAGAGAAAACCACAAAGATATTCCGCAAGAAGAGCAACCCCAAGGCACATAATCGTCAGATTCAATAATAGGGTTGAAATAAAAAAGAGAATACTAAGGGCAGCCAGAGAGAAAGGTCGGGTCACCGACAAAGGGAAGCCCATCAGACTCACAGCAGATCTCTCGGCAGAAACACTACAAGCCAGAAGAGAGTGGGGGCCAATATTCAACATTCTTAAAGAAAAGAACTTTCAACCCAGAATTTCATATCCAGCCAAACTGAGCTTCAGAAGTGAAGGAAAAATAAAATCCTTTGCAAACAAGCAAGTACTCAGAGATTTTGTCACCACCAGGCCTGCTTTACAAGAGCTCCTAAAAGAGGCACTACACATAGAAAGGATCAACCAGTACCAGCCATTCCAAAATCACACTGAATGCTAAAGAGCTTCAACATAATGAAGAATCTACAACAACTAACAGGCAAAACAGCCACTTAGCATCAAAATGGCAGTATCAAATTCACACATAACAATCTTAAACCTAAAGGTAAATGGACTAAATGCACCAATCAAAAGACACAGACTGGCAAATTGATAAAAATCCAAAACCCATCAGTGTGCTGTATCCAGGAAACCCATCTCACCTGCAAGGATACACAAAGGCTCAAAATAAAGGGATGGAGGAAGATTTACCAAGCTAATGGAAAGCAAAAAAAAGCAGGAGTTGCAATTCTCATCTCTGATAGAATAGACTTTAAAGCAACAAAGATCAAAAGAGACAAAGAAGGCCATTACATAATGGTAAAAGGATCGATACAACAAGAAGAGCTAACGATCCTAAACATATATGGACCCAATGCAGGAGCACCCAGATACATAAGGCAAGTTCTTAATGACTTACAAAAGGACTTAGACTCCCACACAATAATAGTGGGAGACTTTAACACTCCACTGTAAATACTAGACAGATCAACCAGACAGAAAATCAACAAGGATATCCAGGGCTTGAACTCAGACCTGGAGCAAGCAAACCTGATAGACATTTACAGAACTCTCCACCCCAAATCCACAGAATACACATTCTTCTCAGCACCACATCACACCTACTCAAAAATTGACCACATAATTGAAAGTAAAGCACTGCTCAACAAGTGCAAAACAACTGAAATCATAACAAACAGCCTCTCAGACCATAGTGCCATCAAGTTAGAACTCAGAATTCAGAAACCGACCCAGAACCGCACAGCTTCATGGAAACTGAACAACTGGCTCTTGAATGTTGACTGGGTAAACAACGAAATGAAGGCAGAAATAAAGACGTTCTTCGAAACCAATGAGAACGAAGACACAACGTGCCAGAACCTCTGGGACACATTTAAAGCAGTCTCTAGAGGAAAGTATATAGCAATAAGTGCCCATATGAGGAGAATGGAGAGATCCAAAATTGACATCCTATCGTCAAAATTGAAAGAGCTAGAGGAGCAAGATCAAAAAAACTCAAAACCCAGCAGAAGACAAGAAATAACTAAGATCAGAGCTGAGCTGAAGGAGATTGAGACATGAAAAACCCTCCAGAAAATCAATAAATCCAAGAGAGCTGGTTCCTTGAAAAGATCAACAAAAGAGACAGACCACTAGCCAGATTGATTAAAAAGAAAAGAGAGAACAACCAAATAGATACAATAAAAAATGATAAAGGAGAAACCACCACAGATTCCACAGAAATTCAAACCATCATCAGAGAATATTACAAACAACTCTATGCACATAAACTAGTAAACCTGGAAGAAATGGATAAATTCCTGGACTCCTGCGTCCTCCCAGCCTAAACCAGGAGGAAGCTGAAACTATGAATAGACCAATAACAAGGTCTGAAGTTGAGGCAGCAATTAAGAGCCTACCACACAAAAAAAGCCCAGGTCCAGACGGGTTCACAGCCGAATTCTACCAGACACACAAGGAGGAGCTGGTACCATTCCTTCTAAAACTATTTCAAACAATCCAAAAAGAGGGAATCCTTCCCAAATCATTTTATGAGACCAACATCATCCTGATACCAAAACCCGGCAGAGACCCAACGAGAAAACAAAACTTCGCCAATATCCATGATGAACATAGATGCAAAAATCTTCAATAGAATATTGGCAAGCTGATTGCAACAGCAAATCAAAAAACTTATTCATCACGATCAAGTAGGATTCATCCCAGTGATGCAAGGCTGGTTCAACATACGCAAGTCTATCAACGTAATTCACCACATAAACAGAACCAAAAACAAAAACCACATGATTATCTCAATCGACGCAGAGAAGGCTTTTGACAAAATTCAACAGCCCTTTATGCTAAAAACCCTCAATAAACTCGGCATCTATGGAACGTATCTCAAAGTAATAAAAGCTATTTATGACAAACCAACAGCCAATATCATACTGAATGGGCAAAAACTGGAAGCATTCCCTTTGAAATCTGGCACTAGACAAGGATGCCCTCTCTCACTACTCCTATTCAATATAGTACTTGAAGTTCTAGCCAGAGCAATCAGGAAAGAAAAAGAAATAAATGGTATTCAAATTGGAAATGTGGAAGCCAAATTGTCTCTATTTGCAGACGACATGATAGTATACTTAGAAGACCCCATCGCCTCAGCCCAAAAACTCCTGAAACTGATAAGCAACTTCAGCAAAGTCTCAGGATATAAAATCAATGTGCAAAAATCACAAGCATTCGTCTACACCAACAACAGACTTAAAGAAAGCCAAATCAAGAGCGAACTGCCATTCGCGATTGCTACAAAAAGAATAAAATACCTTGGAATACAACTCACAAAGAACGTAAGAGACCTCTTCAAGGAGAACTACAAATCACTGCTCAAAGAAATCAGAGAGGACACAAACAGATGGAGAAACATTCCATGTTCATGGTTAGGAAGAATTAATATCGTGAAAATGGCTATACTGCCCAAAGTAATTTACAGAATCAACGCTATCCCCATCAAGCTACCACTGACTTTCTTCACAGAACTGGAAAAAACCACCATGAACTTCATATGGAACCAAAAGAGAGCCCGCATAGCCAAGTCAATTCTAAGCAAAAAGAACACAGTGGGGGGCATCACACTACCGGATTTCAAACGATACTATAAGTCTACAGTAATCAAAACAGCATGGTACTGGTACCAAAACAGAGATATAGACCAATGGAACAAAACAGAGGCACCGGAGGCAACACAACATACATACAACTATACAATCTTTGATAAACCTGACAAAAACAAGCAATGGGGCAAGGATTCCATGTTTAACAAATGGTGTTGGGAAAACTGGCTAGCCATGTGCAGAAAGCAGAAACTGGACCCCTTCCTGACACCTTACACTAAAATTAACTCCAGATGGATTAAAGACTTAAACATAAGACCTGGCACCATAAAAACCCTAGAAGGAAATCTAGGCAAAACTATCCAGGACATAGGAGTAGGCAAGGACTTTATGAACAAAACACCAAAAGCATTGGCAACAAAAGCCAAAATAGACAAATGGGACCTAAGGAAACTCCACAGCTTCTGCACGGCAAAAGAAACAGTCACTAGAGTGGATAGGCAACAGAATGGGAAAAAATTTTCGCAGTCTACCCATCTGACAAAGGGCTGATATCCAGAATTTACAAAGAACTCAAACAGATTTACAGGAAAAAAACAAACAAGCCCATTCAAAAGTGGGCAAAGGATATGAACAGACACTTTACAAAAGAAGACATATATGAGGCCAACAATCATATGAAAAAATGCTCATCGTCACTGGTCACCAGAGAGATGCAAATCAAAACCACATTGAGATACCATCTCACGCCAGTTAGAATGGCGATCATTAAAAAATCTGGAGACAACAGATGCTGGAGAGGATGTGGAGAAAAAGGAACACTTCTACACTGTTGGTGGGAGTGTAAATTAGTTCAACCATTGTGGAACACAGTGTGGCGATTCCTCAAGGCCTTAGAAATAGAAATTCCATTTGACCCAGCAATCCCATTACTGGGTATATATCCAAAAGACTATAAATCGTTCTACTATAAGGACACATTTACATGAATGTTCATTGCACTGTTTACAATAGCAAAGACCTTCAATCAACCCAAATGCCCATTGATAATAGACTGGATTGGAAAAATGTGGCACATATACACCATGGAATATTATGCAGCAATCAGAAATGATGAGTTTGTGTCGTTTGTAGGGACATGGATGAATCTGGAGAACATCATCCTCAGCAAACTGACACAAGAACAGAAAATGAAACACCGCATATTCTCACTCATAGGTGGGTGATGAAAAATGAGAACAGACGGACACAGAAAGGGGAGTACTAAACCCTGGGGTCTATTGGGGGGAAAAGGGGAGGGCCAGTGGGAGGGGGAGGTGGGGAGGGATAGCCTGGGGAGAAATGCCAAATGTGGGTGAAGGGGAGAAGAAAAGCAAAGCACACTGCCATGTGTGTACCTACGCAACTGTCTTGCATGCTCTGCTCATGTACCCCAAAACCTAATATCCAATAAAAAATTTAAAAAAAAAAAAGGTAAACTTCTAAACTTCCCCCACCTTCCCCAAGGCCCACAGGCCCTGCTCAACCCATCCTTCTTCCCTGCTCCCTTTTGTTCACTCCTCACTCTGCTCAAGCCACACGAACCTCCTTGCTGTTCCTCCAATATGCCACACGCTCCTGCCCCAGGGCCTTTGCATGGGCTGTGTCCTCTGTCCGGAAAGTGCTTACCCCCAAATACCTTCCTTCTCACACTAGTTACTTCTTTCCATTAAGATGTTGGCCCAGGCTGGGCATGGTGGCCCATGTTTATAATCCCAGCAATTTCACAGGCTAAGGTAGGAGGATCACATGAGCCCAGAAGTGTTTGGTTTTGTTTTGCTTTTCATTTTGTTAGAGACAAAATATTGCTGTCTCCCAGGCAGGAGAGCAGTGGGTGATTTCACCCAACTGAAACCTTCACCTTCCAGGTTCAAGTGATTCGGCTGCCTCAGTCTTAGTAACTGGGACCACAGGTGCCTGTCACCATGCCCAGGTTTTTGTTTGTTTGTTTGTTTTTGTTATATTTCTTTGTTTTCAGACAGAGTTTTACTCTCATTGCCCAGGTTCAAGTTCAGTGGCAGGATCTTGGCTCACTGCAGCCTCTGCCTCCTAGGTTCAAGCGATCTTGCTGCCTAAGCCTTCCAAATTGCTGGGATTTCAGGCATGGGCCACCATACCCAGCTAATTTTGTGTATTTAGTAGAAACAGGATTTCTCCAGTTTGGTGCAATCTGGTCTCAAACTCCCAACCTCAGGTGATCCACTTGCCTCGGCCTCCCAAAGTGCTGGAATTACAGGTGTGAGCCACAAACCCCAACCAATATCTTTTTATTAAAATGTGAATTAGAGGATGAGGCAGGTTGATCCACTAGAGGTCTGTAGTTCCAGGCCAGCCTGGCCATTATGGTGAAATCCTGTCTCTACTATAATTACAAAAATTAGCCAGGCATTGTGGCTGGTGCCTGGAATACCAGCTACTCAGTAGGCTGAGCCACAAGAGTCACTTGAGTCTGGGAGGCGCAGAGGTTGCAGTGAGCTGAGATCATGCCACTGCACTCCCACCTGGGTTGCAGAGTGAGACCCCATCTCAAAAACCCAAAAACTCAAATTGGACTGTTTATTTCCTGCTTCTTGATTTCCAATAACACTTATATTAAAAGATATATTGCTTAACATCCCCCACCATCTCAAGGCTCCCAGGCCCTGCCCAACCTGTTCTCCTCACCTCCTCCCTCTCTCCCACTCCTTATTCTCCTCAAGCCACAGGGACCTCCTTGCTTTTCCTGCAATCCACCAGAAGCAGTCCTGCTCCAGGGACTTTAATGGGCTGTGGCCTCTGTCTGAAAAGTGCTTACTTCCCAATACCTTCCTTCTCACACTGGTTACCTCTCCCCCCTTCTTTTGAGATAGAGTTTCGCTCTTGTTGCCCAGGCTGGAGTGCAATGGCATGATCTCGGCTCACCACAACCTCCACCTCTTGGGTTCAGGCAATTCTTCTACCTCAGCCTCCTGAGTAGCTGGGATTACAGGCACGCACCACCATGCCCAGCTAATATTTTGTATTTTAAGTAGAGACGGGGTGGCACCATGTTGACAAGGATTGACTTGATCTATTGACCTTGTGGTCCACCCACCTCGGCCTCCTAAAGTGCTGGGATTACAGGCATGAGCCACCGTGCCCGGTTACACTGGTATTTTTCCTAATCGTTGCTTAACACTTTCTCCCATGCAGCACATTTTCCTACTTCACTGTTCATTCTTTCTTCAATTACATTTTTATTCATTTCTTTTTCCTTTTTTTACATTATTACTTTGTTACATTATTACATTTTTAATATGGTTTACTGTCATTAGTCTTTTATTTTACTATAATTTGTTTATCTTACATAGGTGTGATCTCATTAGACTAACTTTTAAAAGTAGAACTGTATATTACTGACTTTTTGCATCTTTTGTGTCTAACGTGATTTATAGAACTGTCCTTTTTTTTCATTAAAAGATACTTAATCATGTTCTGGCCTCGCGTGGTGGCTCATGCCTGTAATTCTAGCATTTTGAGAGGCCAAAGCAGGTAGAGTACTTGAGGTGAGGAGATCAAGCCCAGCCTGGCCAAAATGGTGAAACCCTGTCTCCCCCAAAAATATAAAACTTAGCTGGGCGTGGTTGTGTGTGCCTGTAATTCCAGTTACCTGAGAGGCTGAGGCAGGAGAATCGCTGGAACCCAGGAGCTGGAGGTTGCAGTGAGCCGAGATTGTACCACTGCACTTTAAGTTTGGGTGATACAGCAAGACTCTGTCTCAATAAATAAATAAATAAATAAATAAATAAATAAATAAATAAGACAGTCACCTTTCTACTCTGTTTCTATAGGATCAGCTTTTTAGATTCCACTTATGAGTTAGATCTTACAGTATTTGTCTTTCTGTGCCTGGCTTATTTCAATTGGCATAACATTCTTCAAGAATCTAAAAAAGTCAATCTCATAGAAACAGAGAGTAAAAAGGAGGTTACCAGAGGTGGGGTGGGGGGGAGGGTGTCTCAAGTGGACAGTGATAGGAAAAAGCTAGATCTTGATCAAAGGGTACAATTTTAGTCAAATTAAAGGAATAAGTCTTAGGAATCTATCACCTTGGATGGTGAGTACAGTTAATAATAATGTATTATATATTTCAAAATGACTAGTAGATTTTTAATGTTCTCACCACAGAAAAGTGGTAAGTTAGTAAGGTGATGGATATTTGATTGAGTTTTTCTATGATGTATATACATAGATCAAAATGTTACACTAGACCCTATAAATATGTTTAATTATTATTTGCCAATTAAAAATGAAGAAAATGCTAGGATAAAAAACTCATTAGTTTTATATAGGTAATTTTTAAAAATCATAAAGGCATAGCTCCCAACCTTGGCTATACCTTTGGGATCAGCTGGAAAATTTAAAACCCATAGCAATGCCTTGGTCCCATTCTCAGAGTAATTACATCAGAATCTTTGAGTATGGGGCATCAGTGGCTCTTTAAAACTCCAAATGATTCCAATATACAGCCAGAGTTGCAATCTACTGATACATGCAGTCTAGGCAAACTACAGGCTGTAGATGACTACATCTTTTTGTAAATAAATGTTTATTGGAATATTGCCATAGCCATTCCTTTACATACATATGGCTGCCTTCAGTCTACAAAGACAGAGCTGAGAAGTTGAAACAGAGACCATATAGCCTGGAAAGTCAAAATATTTACTACTTAGTGCTTTACATAGTCTATTGTTTTCTGAAAAATAAGGCAAAGTCCTGTTACATATCAAAAATATGAGGAAGAAAATAGAGACTGCTGATAACATTAATAAGAAGTAAAACTGTTTTTAAATAGCAAAATGTACATTGTAAATATATTCTCACCAAGGCTATCATTTAAAAAATAATTTCTGTATCTTCAGTTACTTACTTGAAAGAATAAATTGTTTCTCATACCTTAGAGAGTTTTCATGATGAAAATCTGGTCCTACAATTCTATATAGCAGAGGCATGTTGTAAATTAGCATCCTCTCACCATCTTTTATTGTGTTTTCTTAATAAATCACAATATCTCTATCAGTTCAGTTCCTCACATTTCTATAGCAAAAACTAATGAGATAATAGACTATGTGTACCAGACTATCTAGGTAATAACTTCTTCATTTAGGGAGATCTGACCAATGTCTACAAAATGCTTAAGATTTTAATAAATAATCATATAAGATTTTTGCAAATTAACACATACTTAAGAAAACAATCAACAATTGATACCTTTATCTGAATATTCTCTAAGTAATTAAGCTGAGTGCATTAGCTGAGAAATTTAGAATACACAGAAATTCAGGTTCAGAATAAAGCTATTATAAACCAAAAACAGTATTTAAACTGAAGCAATGTAATCTATAATTCTTAAAAATGAAAATGAATAAAATCATGTTCATATCTAAAAACAATTATTTAATACTTTAATTTTAATGGTTCAAAATATTTAAGATGTCAAGATATCAGTACTAATTAAGAAAAGCCCTTTTAAGATTGCAGAAATTGGCAAAATTTGAATACTGATTATAGGTTAGATATTAGTATTGTATCAATTTTAAATTTCCTGATTTTGGTAATTGTACTCAGATTATGTAATAGAATACTCTTCTTATTAGAAAATATACACTGAAATACTAGTGAAGTGTTTAGGCTTAAAGGGGTATGTATGATGGCTGCTACTTTCTCTTACTGGATCACAGGGAATATATATACATACGTGTGTATGTATGGTGTGTGTATGGGTGTGTGTGTGTGTGCGTGTGTGTGTATAGATATGTATATATGTGAAGAGAGAGATACAATGATAAAGCAAAAGTAAATGTTAGTAATTGTTGAATATGGATAACGGGTATATGAGAGATCTCTCTACCATTCTTTTAACGTTTATGTAAGTTTGAAATTATTTCAATACAAAAGTTAACGGAAGTCCTTTTGAGATAGAAACTAGTAGTAAATGCAAAATATATATATTCATTGTTAAGTTAGTATTAGGTGACCAAAAGTAAAAGAAAACAAAATAAGTACAACCCAAGTGGAGCTCATTCTTCAATCAACAATAAATATCTCAGATAATTTTTTTAATAATGAAATAATAAACAGGTATATTTATTAGGTTATGTGATTGCTTGAAAATTCTATGAACAAATAAATTTAAAGCTTCGTTAGGTTCTAACAGTTTCAGTAATTTTTATGGTCTTATTTCTAATATGGTATATTGCAAATTTATATAAATAAAATAGCCATAAGACAACAAATTTATTGAATACTTAACTCATTGTAGAAATTAGTTTGATCTGTGGATCCATGGGGACAGGCTGTATTCTAAATGGATAATTCTTTTTAACAGAATAATCCTGAAGCAGAAAAACTAAACCAACTCGCAAAATTTTAAACCACTCAGGACATGGGGCATTCCACATAATCACCGACACCATGCCTGAACTGTCAGCAACCTCCAAACAGGTCTAGAAGTCTAGAAAAAAAGAGTAAAAGCATATACATATCTGTCACTTTTATGTATACAGATGGTATATAACATATTATCTGTGATCATTTAGAGTGATGGAAAATAACATTTAATTTTTAATTATTAATAATGATTCAGTTGTCAAATCTGCTAATATTGGTAATCTAAAGAAGAGACAGCCACCAGATCCATGGGAGTACTAAATGTGCTACTAAATTACTGTGTGAAGGAAGCTCTGAGGACACAGGCCAAATCTTATTTATATTTGATTCTTCCATAATATTTAGCATGGTGCCTTAAAGAGTGATCCCACAACACATTTGTCAAATCAATGAGACAAATTTCATGTTACAAGTTTTACCTTAAAATTTTGACATCATTCTTGGTTATCTGAACTGTTAAATGGCTTTGATATTCATATTTGAGAACTTTAGATAAACATATAATTGAGTGGGCACAATGCCATCAATACCCTGGTTACATTAATTTATTTATAGCAATACACAAGGCAGGCTGGTACATAAGACATGGAAATAATTTCTGAGACACTATTTAAGAAATAATGCTATCAGAAAGGGGAATGTTAGAACAAATGTGCATTATTGCTGACTCTGAGTATAGTTAAAATACAGAAATCTGTTGAGGTAGAAAGTATCTGATGGAGTTTTTCCCAGTATTAAAATACAGTGACAACTTCAGCTCTGCCTAAAAGGCAATCATTAATGTGGTTTCTAATTCTTAATTTCTTCTTAAATAATGATGTTATTTTCTCAGACCCTTTCTCTTAATGATGAATATACATTTTGGGCAATTCATTCCTTTATTCATTAAACATTTACTGGTTCTCTACTCCAGACATTATGTTAGGCACTGGAATGAAGAGATGAATCAAACGTCATTCCTAATAATAATGACTAAAATATATATAGGACTTATGTGCCTGGAACATAGGTAAATTCTTTACTTATATTAACTACTTCAATCCTCACATCAACCCTGTAAGGTAAGTACAATTATAGTATCCATATTTTATAGATGAGTAAACTGAGGCTTTAAAAGGATAAATTTCCCTATATCATAAAGCTAAGAAATGGTAAACAGAGCCAAAACCTGAATTCAGTTCATATGACTAGAGGAAGTGCACTCTTAAGCACTATAAAATACTTCTTCCCTACAGTCAGAGAGCTCACAGTAGAGTAAGGTTAGCAAATCTATTAACAGATATGTATAACTGGGTTATACATGCTTTATAATGGGGTCCTGAGTAGCATGTAGTTGATTCTCCTTAGTGACTAGGCATATGGGTATACATGGAAAGATTTAAATCAGAGGTAGGCACTGAACTGAATCTTAAAGATGGCTTTGCCAATCTGATGATAATTGAAAGGAAGAGCATTCTAGGCAGAAGAAGTAACATAAGTAGAGGTATGAAAAGTAGAAAACAATTGATTACCATTAGAAAATTCCAGGTAGGGCACTTTGGTTATTATGGGGCATAGAAAGCTCAGGAAGAGATGAAACTGGAGAGGCAAGCAGGGAAAAAATGATGAAGACACAAAGAGACAGGAAGGCAACAAGTAAGTGGAGTTTAAAAATTAGGGAAGAAAGTATTGCAACAGTGAGAAGGCAAACAAATATCAAGGAATGACTGAATAATTTATGATATCATGTGCTAAAACTTTATAACTGTAAAGTTATGAATGATGAATTTTTAGTGATAAGAGCAAATATTTAAGAAAATGTAAAATAATACAAAACTGTATTCAGAATATAGTTCCCATTTTTTAAGAGAACATCATTCTCAGCAAACTGACACAATAACAGAAAATGAAATACTGCATGTTCTCACTCATGGGTGGGTGTTGAACAATGAGAACACATGGACACAGGGAGGGGAGCACTACACACTGGGGCCTGTTGGCTGGAATAGGGGAGAAACAGTGGGGGATAGGGAGTTGGGGAGAGATAGCATGGGGAGAAATGCCAGATATAGGTAAAGGGGAGGAAGGCAGAAAATCACACTGCCACGTGTGTACCTATGCAACTATCTTGCATGTTCTTCACATGTATCCCAAAACCTAAAATGTAATTTAAAAAAATAAATAATAAAATAAAAAAAGAAAAATTACTGTAATATATAACATATATAGTTACATAAAATATATGATACCTGTACCTATGTACATATATGTTATATTTATGATATAAATATAATAGATATGTATATGTAAATCTAGTTTATGCTTATATATGTGTATATAAGTGATGTACACACACACAAGAAAGGGAATAAAACACACCATGTTAACAGTGGCTCTCTCTGAGTAGTAAGATCTTCAAATAGCTTTCTACATTTTCCAAATTCCCTATAAGAAGCATGTATACTTTTGTAATGAAAGTTTAATGAAATATGTAAAATAGTTCTTGATATCATGGGAAAATACAGTATAATATTAAGAAAGAAAAAACAGAACACAAACATATCAAGGAAGTAGAGCTCACGAGCATTATGCAGTGTGTGGAGTCAAAACAATAGAAAAGTATCACACAGATTTCACAGTTAGAGTTACTAGTGAATGATAAGCTAAGGAAAAAAGCCAAAGTAATTGTGTTGAGAAATGGGAGGTAAGAAAGTAAAAACACCTAGTGTAGACTACTTCTTCAAGAAGCTTATCTGAAGAGAAAGAGATTGGGAATAAAAGAGTCATAAGACCAAGGCAGATTATTTTACTTTCTCTTTTAAATGGGAGGCTAGAGTATGTTTATACGGTGGTGCATAAAGCATAGCTGAGAAGAAAAAGTTTTAGGAAAATAAAAAGGTGGGAAGAAGACCACCTAGATCAGGAAAATAAAGGGCACCAATACAGAAATAATTTTGTATGTACAATAAATTATGCAGAAAAATACAACATATATTTATGTACATTTTAAAATTACATTGAAGTGACTTACGCTATTTAAACGAACAGGTTATCATACTATTAAGTGTGTAAGTTATAATTTATAACCTTAAATTCACATAGGATATCTTATCATTACTTGTACTTGATATGGTTCAGTCATCTTTTTATCAGGTTTCCCATAGTCTCACCATTTTGATTTATGTATGATCCTCATAAGCAATGCAGGAAAATTTCTTCTGTTAGCTCAGGTCATTTCAAGGTGAGAAAGGGAAATTATTTTGGTATCTAGAATGTAAAAAAGAGAAAAGAAATTCTGTTTTACTTGTAATGATAACTTCAAAGATCTATTTTAATAGTTAAAAATAGTAGCCAAATTATACCTAAAGCGAATCCTTCTTGCCAGCTAAACCCTGCCAGCTAAGTCTATATACATTTCTCACATAAACTACATTTGATCCCTAATATTAACAGCTGAAATATGTATAAGGCTTACCATGTGCCTGGAACATAGGTAAACCTATATTAACTAACACATTGTTCCATCTAGAATGCCTTCCATCTTACCAAATCATTTAATAATTTCCTGGAAAACCTGGATCTAAACTCACCTCCCATAAGAAAAAACAGACCTCAATGTCATGAATGTTATTCCCATTACTAAGCACTTATATATTTAATTTATAGAATTAAGCCAAGCACGATGGCTTACGCCTATAATTTCAGCACTTTGGGAGGCTGAGACCGGTGGCTTGCTTGAGCTCAGAAGTTCAAGATCAGTCTGGGCAACATGATGAAACCCCCTGTTTCTCCAAAAAGAGAAAAGTAGCTGGGTGTGGTGCATGTGCCTATAGCTCCAGCTACTCTAGAGGCTGAAGTGGGGTGATCACCTGAGTCCAGGCATCTGAGCTCACTGCAGCAAGGCTGAAGTGAACTGTGCTCATTTCACTTCAGCCAGGCTGCAACGAGCCATGATCACACCACTGCATTTCAACCTGAGTGATTGAGAGCCTGTCTCAAAATCTATATCTGTATATATTTGTTTTATTACACTTTTTTGTATTGCCTCCACCTCAGTTTCATATGTATAAATTCCATCTCCCCAAAATATACCAGACATGAGCCTGTATCAGGACCTTTACACTTGTTGTCTTCCCCTTAGATATGCAAGTGACTTTCTCACTCCCCTCCAAGTTTTGCTCAAAGGTCACCTTCTCAGTGATATTATCCCTAACTATCCTATTAAAAACTGACCCCTTTACTTATCCTCCATTCCACTTTATTTTTCTAGATAGCACTTACTATTTTCTCATATGCCATATGATCTACTGAGAAACATTTTAATCTGCAAGCTCACTGACAAGTTGAAAAACTTCTTTAAACGTATTTATCAATTTAAATAATTAATTTGTAATCCCGATGTAGTCTTCCTTGGATTAAGAGACGATCCATCTGCAACTGTCTCCACATTTTTCTTTCTCACAGCCCACAGTCTCAACTATTAAGACTTGAATTTGCATTATTACCAATATTTATTTTGCTAAGGCTCCCTTCATTTCTATCTTTCTTAACATAATGTTTTACCTAGTCAACGCTTTTGACAAGAAAATCACACACTTGTAATTTCTTTTTAATAAGGATTTAAGTGGTATTATATAATTATGCCCATAACACAAAAAACACACACAATTTTTCTCTGTAACTTTTCTTTCAGATTCTCCCAATAAATTACTAGCCCAGAATCACAGATCCTAACATTCGATCTGATATAGTTTAGTGATTTTATTTTAATGTCAGATGAATCTCAGATGAGCTTTGAATTGTCTTGATCAATGGAGTACTCTTGATAAACGAAGGCACGTAGAGCTCCTTTATTGTCTGAAGTAAATTCAAGAGCTACATAGTTTGTAAAACTAGAGTTCTAAGAGCCTCTGTTTCTGTTATAATAAGGTGCAGAGAGTTAGGTGTAATCAGATGTCTTTCTGGTTAACATTTTTCCCAGTTTAGGTTTTTAACTTACAAACTTCAGAGAATACATATTTTATCTCTCAAATCCAAAAAAGAATTAGAGGCTGTCTATAGACAAAAAAGAATTTGTGTAAATTTATAAAAATAAAGCATGTTCATTATCAAAAAAGAAATAATGAAAATAAATAAACTGGATATTCAATATGCAATAGAACAGTGATTCTCAAAACGTTTCGGTCTCAGAATCCCTATACATTCTTTAAAATTATTAAAGATCTTCAATAGCTTTTTTCTTTTGTTGAGTTGGAGTATCAATCTGTTTCTCAGGTGGAAGTGCAGTGGTGTGATCTTGACTCACTGCAACCTCCACTTCCTGGATTCAAGCAATTCAGTCTCCCAAGTAGCTGAGACTACAGACGTGCACCACTATGCTAGGCTAATTTTTGTATTTTTTAGTAGAGATGGGGTTTTACCATGGTGGCCAGGTTGGTCTCCAACTCCTGACCTCAAGTGATCTGCCTGCCTCAGTCTTTCAAAGTGTTGAGATTACAGGTGTGAGCCACTGCTCCCAGCCTGAAGAGCATTTTACTGCACTATAAAGCAAACTAAGAACTTTTTAAAATTATCAGTTCATTAAAAATAGCACAATAATAAACTAATACGTATAATTACAAGTAACATTTTTTTTGGTAAAAATGTAAAAATGACAGTATTTTCCAAAATTAAAAAATAATGTAGTGAGAAGTGTGGTATTGTTTTACATTTTTGCAAACTTTGTTAGTACCTACCTTAATAGATGAAATTGGATTCTATCCAATTTTGCAGGTGGATACTCATATCTTCTTTGATATTTAGTTGGCTTCGGTGTCACATGTCATTTAGCCTCTGGAAAACTACACAGTACACTTGTGAGAGAATAAGGGTGAAAAAAGGTGAGTAAAGCCTTAGTATTGTGAAAATAGCTTTGACCTCATGGATCTTTTGAAAATGTCTTGGGGCACCACTAGAGGTCCCTGGACCATACTTAAAAATTATAGCAGAAGAGTAAATTTTAAAAATGAAGAAGGAATGAATATTAAAGCTAAAAATAATGAATCAGAAAACACTCTACCACAATAAAAAAAAACCCAACAGCACTGATAAATTCAAATTCTCTGGAAAAATTAATGAAAAGTTAAATCTTTCACAAGTCTAATCATAAAAATGAAAACAAAAATGTAACACTCAGAATGTAAACAACTATACACACAAAGAAAAATTATTTAAAAATTATTATATATGATTTTATATCAGTAAATTTTAAATATCAGTGACATAGTTAATCTCTTAGAAAAATATGAATTACCAGTATTGCCATAAGAAGCAAAAGAAAACTAAACTATGTTTTCACTCATGGAAGAAAATGAAAAAAGTTCACTAGGAGAGGCCTCAAGATGGCGCTGTGAGAACAACCCAGGACTGGAGCTCTTGTTGAATCCACAAACAGGTGAGTCGGAGTTGCATTTCCAGACTGATCTTTGTTGCCCACAGAACGGAGAAACTCCCAAGTATAAAAAAGACACGGGACGCCAGGCAGTAAGTCTGCCTGGAGAAGCCGGCAGCCAGGGTGGTGGTGGCCGGCCCTACCCAGCAATCCCCACAGGGCGCGCTTGTCCGGGTGCCCTGTTGAACCGGAAACCTGAGACTTGAGAGGGCTGGACTTGAGACTGAATGAGACTTGGACAGTAGGCCAGCCCAGGGGATTGCAGGGACAGAGCGTTTGGGGTACCCAGTAGGATGAACAAAACCGCGATTTCAAACTATCCCGAGCAGACGGTCCGAGACTCTCTGTGAGGGAGGGGCGTCCACCACTACCGAGGCAACCCGCCCCAACTGAGATACACGCCCACTGCTGACGCAGCCAGCCGTTGCCAAGGCAACCCCTCCCTACTGAGATACACGCCCACTGCAGACGCAGCCTCCCATTACCGAGGCAACCCGTCCCCACTGAGATACACACCGACTGCTGACGCAGCCTGCCGCTGCCGAGGCAACACTCTACAACAAAGAGACTCCACCGCAGGGCGTGGCGGAGACCACAGCAGAGCCTGCAGGAACAGGGCGAATCACACAACAGCAGGGCGGAGACTAGGCAGGCAAACAGTGGCTAGTCTGCCTCCTAGCTGGGCAGGACACCTCAACGGACGTCGAAAAATAAAGCCAAACCCCCCAACACAGAGCATTTGAGAAAAAAAGGGTTTTTTAAATGAGCTTTGTTGCAGCAGAATCAAACATAGCAGCCTAACAGCCCTGAATGAACAACAGAGCTCACAGCTCAGAAATAGAGCTCCTAAAAAGAACAGACTGTCTCCTCAAGCAGCTCCCTGACCCCTCTATATCCAAAAGACTGACATTAGGCAGGCATCATCCTGGGACAAAGATAGCAGAAAAAGAAACGGGTAGCATCCCTCACTGTGCCACAGCTGCTAGAGGTGTACCCCAGACAAGCAGGGCCTGGAGTGGACCTCAGCAGTCGTACAGCGAAGGGGCTAGGCTGGTAGAAGGAAAACCAAGTAACAGAAATACTTCATCATCAACAATCTGGGTGTCCACTCAGAGACCCAATCGAAAAGTCAGCAACTACGCAGACGACAAGCGGATAAACCCACACAAAGATGGGAAGAAACCAGCGAGAAAAGGAGGAAAACACCCAAAACCAGAACACCTTGCCTCCTAGAAAGGACCGAAACTCCTCACCAGTAAGGGAACAAAGCTGGATGGAGAATGACTGTGACGAAATGACGGAATTAGACTTCAGAAGGTGGATAATGAGAAATTTTGTGAGCAAAAAGAACACATATTAAATCAATGCAAAGAAACTAAGAAACTTAAAAAAAGACATGCGAAAATGATAACAAGAATGGATACCTTAGAGAGGAATATGAATGAATTAAAGGAGCTGAAAAACACAATACGAGAACTTCGCGAAGCATGCACAAGTTTCAATAGCCGAATTGACTAAGCAGAAGAAAGAATATCTGAAGTCGAAGACAACTCAATGAAATTAAACGAGAAACCAAGATCAGAGAAAACAACGCAAAAAGGAATGAACAAAGTCTCCAAGAAATGTGGGACTATGAGAACAGACCTAACCTACGTTTGATAGGTGTACCGTACCAGAAGGGGACGAAGAGAATGAATCCAAGCTGGAAAATACTCTTCAGGACATCATCCAGGAAAACTTCCCCCTCCTAGCAAGACAGGCCAACACTCAAATGCAGGAAATACAGAGAACACCACAAAGATATTCTGCAAGAAGAGCAACGCCAAGGCACATAATCTTCAGATTCAACAAGGTTGAAATAAAGGAGAAAACACTAAGGGCAGCCAGAGAGAAAGGTCGAGTTACCCACAAAGGGAAGCCCATCAGACTCACAGCAGATCTCTCGGCAGAAACACTACAAGCCAGAAGAGAGTGGGGGCCAATATTCAACATTCTTAAAGAAAAGAACTTTCAACCCAGAATTTCATATCCAGCCAAACTGAGCTTCAGAAGTGAAGGAAAAATAAAATCCTTTGCGAACAAGCAAGTACTCAGAGATTTTGTCACCACCAGGCCTGCTTTACAAGAGCTCCTAAAAGAGGCACTACACATAGAAAGGAACAACCAGTACCAGCCCATTCAAAAATCACACTGAATGCTAAAGAGCATCAACATAATGAAGAATCTACAACAACTAACAGGCAAAACAGCCACTTAGCATCAAAATGGCAGTATCAAATTCACACATAACAATATTAACCTTACATGTAAATGGACTAAATGCACCAATCAAAAGACACAGACTGGCAAATTGGATAAAAATCCAAAACCCATCAGTGTGCTGTATCCAGGAAACCCATCTCACCTGCAAGGATACACAAAGGCTCAAAATAAAGGGATGGAGGAAGATTTACCAAGCTAATGGAGAGCAAAAAAAAAAGCAGGAGTTGCAATTCTCATCTCTGATAAAATAGACTTTAAAGCAACAAAGATCAAAAGAGACAAAGAAGGCCATTACGTAATGGTAAAAGTATTGATAAAACAAGAAGAGCTAACGATCCTAAACATATATAGACCCAATGCAGGAGCACCAAGATACATAAGGCAAGTTCTTAATGACTTACAAAGAGACTCCCACACAATAATAGTGGGAGACTTTAACACTCCACTGTCAATATTAGAAAGATCAACCAGACAGAAAATCAACAAGGCTATCCAGGGCTTGAACTCAGACCTGGAGCAAGCAAACCTGATAGACATTTACAGAACTCTCCACCCCAAATCCACAGAATACACATTCTTCTCAGCACCACATCACACCTACTCTAAAATTGACCACATAATTGGAAGTAAAGCACTGCTCAACAAATGCAAAACAACTGAAATCATAACAAAAAGCCTCTCAGACCATAGTGCAATCAAGTTAGAACTCAGAATACAGAAACCGACTCAGAACCGCACAGCTTCATGGAAACTGAACAACTGGCTCTTGAATGTTTACTGGGTAAACAATAAAATGAAGTCAGAAATAAAGAAGTTCTTTGAAACCAATGAGAACGAAGACACAACATGCCAGAACCTCTGGGACACATTTAAAGCAGTCTCTAGAGGAAAGTATATAGCAATAAGAGCCCATATGAGGAGAATGGAGAGATCCAAAATTAACACCCTATCCTCAAAATTGAAAGAGCTAGAGGAGCAAGATAAAAAAAACTCAAAACCCAGCAGAAGACAAGAAATAACTAAGATCAGAGCTGAACTGAAGGAGATTGAGACACGAAAAATTCTTCAAAAAATCAATAAATCCAAGAGCTGGTTTTTTGAAAAGATCAACAAAATAGACAGACCACTAGCCAGATTGATTAAAAATAAAAGAGAGAACAACCAAATAGATGCAATAAAAAATGATAAAGGGGAAATCACCACAGATTCCACAGAAATTCAAACCATCATCAGAGAATATTACAAACCACTCTATGCACATAAACTAGTAAACCTGGAATAAATGGATAAATTCCTGGACTCCTGCATCCTCCCAAGCCTAAACCAGGAGGAAGCTGAAACTATGAATAGACCAATACCAAGGGCAGAAGTCGAGGCAGCAATTAAGAGCCTACCACACAAAAAAAGAGGTCCAGACGGGTTCACAGCCAAATTCTACCAGACACACAAAGAGGAGCTGGTACCATTCCTTTTAAAACTATTTCAAACAATCCAAAAAGAGGGAATACTTCCCAAATGGTTTTATGAGACCAACATCATCCTGATACCAAAACCCGGCAGACCCCAACAAGAAAAGAAAACTTCAGGCCAATATCCATGATGAACATAGATGCAAAAATCTTCAATAAAATATTGGCAAGCTGAATGCAACAGCAAATCAAAAAACTTATTCACCATGATCAAGTAGGATTCATCCCGGGGATGCAAGGCTGGTTCAACATACGCAAGTCTATCAACGTAATTCACCACATAAACAGAACCAAAAACAAAAAACACATGATTATCTCAATTGACGCAGAGAAGGCATTTGACAAAATTCAACAGCCCTTTATGCTAAAAACCGTCAATAAACTCGGTATCGATGGAACGTATCTCAAAGTAATAAAAGCTATTTATGACAAACCACCAACAGCCAATATCATACTGAATGAGCAAAAACTGGAAGCATTCCCTTTGAAATCTGGCACTAGACAAGGATGCCCTCTTTCACCACTCCTATTCAATATAGTTCTGGAAGTTCTAGCCAGAGCAATCAGGCAAGAAAAAGAAATAAAGGGTATTCAAATAGGAAAGGAGGAAGCCAAATTGTCTCTATTTGCAGACGACATGATAGTATACCTAGAAGACCCCATCACCTCAGCCCAAAAACTCCTGAAACTGATAAACAACTTCAGCAAAGTCTCAGGATATAAAATCAATGTGCAAAAATCACAAGCATTCGTCTACACCAATAACAGACTTAAAGAAAGCCAAATCAAGAACGAACTGCTATTCACAATTGCTACAAAAAGAATAAAATACCTAGAAATACAACTCACAAGGAACGTAAGGGACCTATTCAAGGAGAACTACAAACCACTGCTCAACGAAATCAGAGAGGACACAAACAGATGGAGAAACATTCCATGATGTTCATGGTTAGGAAGAATTAATATCGTGAAAATGGCTATACTGCCCAAAGTAATTTACAGAATCAACGCTATCCCCATCAAGCTACCATCGACTTTCTTCACAGAACTGGAAAAAACCACCATGAACTTCATATGGAAGCAAAAGAGAGCCCGCATAGCCAAGTCAATTCTAAGCAAAAAGAACACAGCGGGGGGCATCACACTACCGGATTTCAAACTATACTACAAGGCTACAGTAATCAAAACAGCATGGTACTGGTACCAAAACAGAGATATAGACCAATGGAACAAAACAGAGGCACCGGAGGCAACACAACATATCTACAACTATACAATCTTTGATAAACCTGACAAAAACAAGCAAGGGGGAAAGGATTCCCTGTTTAACAAATGGTGTTGGGAAAACTGGCTAGCCATGTGCAGAAAGTAGAAACTGGACCCCTTCCTGACACCTTACACTAAAATTAACTCCAGATGGATTAAAGACTTAAACATAAGACCTGGCACCGTAAAAACCCTAGAAGGAAATCTAGGCAAAACTATCCAGGACATAGGAGTAGGCAAGGACTTCATGAACAAAACACCAAAAGCATTGGCAACAAAAACCAAAATAGACAAATGGGACCTAAGGAAACTCCACAGCTTCTGCACGGCAAAAGAAACAGTCACTAGAGTGGATCGGCAACCAACAGAATGGGAAAACATTTTTGCAGTTTACCCATCTGACAAAGGGCTGATATCCAGAGTTTACAAAGAACTCAAACGGATTTACAGGAAAAAAACAAACAAGCCCATTCAAAAGTGGGCAAAGGATATGAACAGACACTTTACGAAAGAAGACATATATGAGGCCAACAATCATATGAAAAAATGCTCATCGTCACTGGTCATCAGAGAGATGCAAATCAAAACCACATTGAGATACCATCTCACGCCAGTTAGAATGGCGATCATTAAAAAATCTGGAGACAACAGATGCTGGAGAGGATGTGGAGAAAAAGAGGAACACTTCTACACTGTTGGTGGGAGTGTAAATTAGTTCAACCATTGTGGAACACAGTGTGGCGATTCCTCAAGGCCTTAGAAATAGAAATTCCATTTGACCCAGCAATCCCATTACTGGGTATATATCCAAAAGACTATAAATCGTTCTACTATAAGGACACATGTACACGAATGTTCATTGCAGCACTGTTTACAATAGCAAAGACCTGGAATCAACCCAAATGCCCATTGATAATAGACTGGATTGGAAAAATGTGGCACATATACACCATGGAATATTATGCAGCAATCAGAAATGATGAGTTCGTGTCATTTGTAGGGACATGGATGGATCTGGAGAACGTCATCCTCAGCAAACTGACACAAGAACAGAAAATGAAACACCACATATTCTCACTCATAGGCGGGTGATGAAAAATGAGAACACATGGACACAGAAAGGGGAGTACTAAACACTGGGGTCTATTGGGGGGAAAAGGGAGGGCCAGTGGGAGGGGGAGCTGGGGAGGGATAGCCTGGGGAGAAATGCCAAATGTGGGTGAAGGGGAGAAGGAAAGAAAAGCACACTGCCATGTGTGTTCCTACGCAACTGTCTTGCATGCTCTGCTCATGTACCCCAAAACCTAAAATCCAATAAAAAATTAAAATAAATAAATAAATAAATAAAAAGAAACCACATTGTAATACTTTGTAAAATGTGTTTACTTTTTTATCATTGGAAAATTAATTACGTACTATGTACAAATTTCTAAAATACTTCACTGCAGTAAATAGTATATAGTATGAATTATTGTTTTCTTTAACATATAATAAACATGGGTAAAACTATTCATATGAATTCAGATCTTTTGGCTTCAATTGCCGTTCTACTTTATTAGCACTTCCCTAACTCCATAAAATGTATAATTTGAATTTTTGTTTAATCCAGAATTTATTGAAAATGTTTTTTTAATGTGATAATGTTACTATTGCAGTTGAGGACATTTTCAATAAATATCTTAAACTTGAGGTCCTAAGTATTTCTTCTGTACTAGATATCAGATTTCTCTGGCACAACTCTATTACTTGTGATAACATTTATGGAATCTGCAAATGTCAGGACACCATTTCAACACTGTACCCAGTTGTTCATATCAAATATCTTGTTAGCTATGAAACAAACCAAATATAAATGTTGAATATATAGCACAAATAAACAGAATCTTCACAGAAAACAACAATAACTAATTTTCTACAATATGTCACCTATTCATTAGTTCTTCAGTAATACCATTTATGCTATTTCAAGTACAAGAGGTTCTTTAACTAGGTTCTAAAAGCCATAAACAATGATGCATAAAGTCAGATTTATTTTTAGAAACTTTTGATGCTTCTTTTGCTGTGCATCTTACTGTGAATATAGGGAGATGAAGACAAATGTACATTTAAGTCAATAGTGGGCACATGAGTTTTGCTCATATGGTTTTTTGCTTATATGGATGTTGTAAATAACAAGATACAATCATGAAGTTTGATTAAACTCATCTGTACCTTGTGAACTTTAGTCCACTTAGTTTAAAACTTGATTCAGTCACTATTTATTGGTTTAAAAAATGATTTTAAAAGCTGCAAACAAAACTTTATTACACATTTCTGAATCAGGGAGTGGTAAACTGTGATAGTTTCCCTTTACCACAGACTGTTTTGTGAAGGAAATTCTGCATAATATAAAATAAATAAGAGTTTCCAAACTGTTTTTTAAAAAGCTTGAAATTTTTTCTACAATTAACCTTCTCTCTAGAGTCGCCTTTAATCAGGGCTTGGTCCCTGTGTCATCTTTTTAAGGTTTAGTTTCTGGAAAATTTTCAGCAAACCTCTCCCATGCTTTGTCCAAGTTTGTTTTTGCTTTGAAGAAGGCAAACATCTTCAGCTGAAGTTGGATGCCTGTCCCCAAGCTGTGCCTCTTGAAGCTAAAGCTGATTGAAGTTCCCATCCTTCCCCAGGCCATCTTTTTTCCAACAATCTACTTCAACATTTTCTGACCTTTGTTGCTGTCAGTAATTTCAGAATAAACAGATGCAGGAGAGTCATCTCTTGGGAACGTTTCTTCACTTCTGATCTACTCCCTACGTTTTCCAGCTCCATCTGTATATTTTAGATGGTTCAATGTCTATTCATCTATCTCAAAATATGTATTTTGAGAACCATATTTTACTTGTACTTTCTTTAATTATTTTCTTATTTCCAACTCTTTTTTCTCCTTACTTTGTGTTGAACCAATAAGCAATTTGTTTTTCTTATCAAAACAAAGGTGAGCTCTAACCTGCTGCAGTTCACAGCCATCACAGCTATCACTGCCAAGGCAAATGTGAAAGGGTAACACAGGCTCTCCAAGTTTTAATTCCTGTCCATGCTCAAGGACACAAAGGTCGCACTTAATTTTGAGCTAAACAATTTCCATTAACAATTGTTCAATTTTGACTGCCGTGATCTACAAGGACATAACATGTAAGTCATGGTTAAAGTAAATTTCTGAATAAAACTTACTGACACCAACTTCAGGGATTCAAAGAGTATGCTTCAGATTATTTTCTCATCTAATTATACCACAGATTTTACAACGGTAATGATAAAAAGTGATCCTGTCTGCAAACAGGTGATCTAGTGGCAATTACTCTAATACACAGAGGCCAATTTTTTTTCATTTACCTCCTCAGTATCTTCTGCAGTGACATAGCCTTTACTGATAATGTGAAGAGGGACGATGCTATGGCCATAAAGGATGCCTGTGGAGCCAGAACGATGGGAGTGCATGCGGTGAAAGGCAGTCTTGCCCAGGCTGGCTACTGTGGTCCTCTTCAGGATGCCCTGGCACATATTTTCTGGAGCCAAACGGGGCTGTGGACAATGATCAAGGGGACACCTTATGTCCTATCTGTGTGACCTGAAAACTGAAAAAAATCCTTGGAAAGATTACATCTTCCCCAGCTATAGGAACAGTGGGAGGAGCGTCAGAGTAGTCAAGGGGCCTGAAGCACTCTGCTGTTCTTAGGTTAAGCCAGAAACAGTGGCCAAGAGGGTTGTAAAGAAAGCTTACCTGTGGCTGGATATTACGTACTGATTACTCTTATTTTTATTCCATATTTATTGAGCTATGATTTGTATATTGAAAAGTGTATATATTTAGGGTGTACAATAGAGTGCTTAGATGTGTATACATCTTTAAATTATCTCAATAAAGCTAGTAAACATATCTATGCCTTCACACAGTTGCTTTATACTTTTCTATGTGTGTGGTGAGAGAACATAAGATCAATTTTTGTAACAAGTCTGAAGTACAATTATTATTAACTATAGTCACTATTCTGCACATTACACCTCCAGCAGTTTTTTAATTATATAACTGAAGATGTGCACCCTTTGATGAATATCTCCCCAGGTTTCCCCACGCCCTAGCCCATGGAAACTACCTTTGTAGTCTATCTCTTTTCTTTCTTTTTTTTTAGGATTCCACACACAAATCACAAATGAGATTGTGCAGTATTTTTCTTTCTTCATTTCACTTATTTCACTTAGCATAATCTCTTCAAGGTTTATAAATATTGTTGTAAATAAGACTTTCAATATTAAAGGTGAAATTATCTTTCTCACATGGTTTATTAATTTATTTGTATTAGAGGAGTGCAGATGCCCTTACCGGTACTAATTTCATGTCCTTTGGCTATATATTCTGAATTGAGATTAGTGGTGCTTACAGTTTAAAAATGTTAATGAAACTCTATACTGTTTTTTTAATTATGGCTGCACCAGTGGACATGCTCAGCAACAGTGTAAAAATATTCTCTTTCCTCTGCACCCTAACACTTTTTATCTTTGTATGTTTTGATAATAATTCTCCTTAACCCCACAATAAGGTGACATCTCAAGCTGACTTTGATTTCAATTACTCTGATGGTTCGTGATGTTGGGCATCTTTTTATATATCTATGGGCCATTTGTATGTCTTTGGAAAAATGACTATTTAGATGTTCTGCCCAATTAATAAGGAAATAGGTTTTTGTTTTGTTCTACTGTGTGTTTTGTATTGATTCATATTACATATATTTTGGATAGTAACATATTATTCTATGTATGGTTTACAAATATGTTATTCCATCCAATATATTGCCTTTATATTTTGCTGATTTTTTTCTTTAGTGTGCAGAAACTTTTTACTTTGATATAGTTTCACTTTTTTATTTTTGCTTTTGTTGCTTGTGTTCTATGTGTAGAATCCAAAAAATCATTGCCATGTCCAGTGTCGAACAGCTTTTTCCCTATTTAATTTTTAGGGGATTCATGATTTCAATTCTTATGTTTAAGTCTTCATTTTAAAGTCATTTTTGTGATGATATGAGAAAGGTTTGCTTTTTGTATGTGCATATCTAGTTTTTTCTACACTATTTCTTGATGTGTCTATCTTTTCCTAATTTTGTGAAATCAGGTGACTGTGTATGTGTGAGTTTATTTCTGGGTTCTCTTCTGTTCCGTTTGTTTTTATATAGGTTCTATACTATTTTGATGACTATTACTTTGTAATACAGTTTGAAAGCAGAAAGTTTGAGGCTTTCAGTCTTTTTGTTCTTCTTATTATTTGGCTATTTGGGGTCTTTTTATGACTCCATACTAATTTTACAATTGTTCTACATTATCTTAACATATTCAAATTTTGATTAAAAATATTTAATCTGTAGATTACTTTGTGTAGTAGATATTTTAACAATATTAATTTTTAGAATCAATGAACACAGGATATATTTCCAATTTTCTAATATTTATTTTTTTTCATCAACATTTGGTAGTTTTCAGCATGCAAATCTTTAATATTCTTGGTTAAGCTTATTCTATTTAATAAATTAAGTATTTTATTCTACTTGATAACATTGTAAATGAAATTGTTTTCTTAATCCCTTTTCAGATTTTGTGTTGTTATTGTATTAAAATCCCACTGATTTTCCTGTTAAGGTATCTTGCAACTTTACTGAATTAGCTTGTTAGCTATAACAGAGTTTAGTTGTTGGTGGTGATGGTAAAATGGTGGGTATTCTTAACCCTAGTTATACTTTAAGTTGATGATGGCTATTATTATTTTATAATTTAAAAAAATGTAACCAGATAGGTTTCTGCTGTCAGAAATTCAGTGCAATTTAAATTTTTTTTTCTTTTTTTGAGATTGAGTCTAGCACTGTCACCCGGGCTGGAGTGTAATGGTGCAATTTTGGCTCATTGCAACCTCCACCTCCCAGATTCAAGCGATTCTGTCTCAGCCTCCTGAGTAGTTGGAATAACAGTCAATCGCCATCATGCCTGGTTAATTTTTTTGTATTTTCAGTAGAGATGGTGTTTTCTCAAAACTGTGAGCTGGACCCAATTACATGTGACAATCTCGCCTGTGGGCAGGAACCAGTAGGGAGAGTCACATAAACTAGGTACTGGGCCAGTGATATGTCAGTATTTTTTCTGTGGGCAGGACCCTGGCAATAAAATTTTACATCTCCTGGGTGCTAGGTAAAGCAATATGTCAACAATCTAGTCTGTAAACATGTTCCAGGCAGAAGACAGTCACATCACCTAGGTGGTGAGCCCCATAACATGTCACTATTTTTCCTGTAAACTACTCCAGGACACACACACACACACACACACAAATGGTCACATCACATAGGTAATGGCCCAAAGATATCTCACAGTAATCTCTCTGGACTGGCTTAAAAAGGAAGGGAGAGTCATATCACTTAGGTGACTGGCATGTCACAATATCCACTGAGGGCAGACAGAGCCCAGGCAGAAATGTCACATAATCTAGGCCCTCAACCCAGGTATAGTTCACAATCTAATGTGTAGCCTGGACCTCAGCAAAAAAGTAAAACCAATCAGGGTTTGAGTAAAGGAATATGTTACAACTACACCTGTGTAAAAGTCAAGAGATAAAATTTACAATCCTACACCTTTCCCAGCTCCAGGTTCAGAGTCAATACTTACTGGGAGTAGTTTTGTCCAAAAGGCAAGTAACAACCTCAACAATGAACTGGATCCATACATGACACCCCACTTGCAGACACTGTAAAAGAGTCAAAAGATCACAGGAGTGCCAAATCTTGGCCCAAGAGTCACCATCCTATCTTTGTACAGAGTTCACACATGATAGTAACAATGCCAGCTTTTGACTGTCTTTGGATGTGAAATTCCTAGAACCACAAGAGTAGACAGTGTTCATTTCTAGAGGTGAAAATATGGTTGGCTGGTTGTGCATACATAAGTAACTATCTCACCTGTGCTTTGAGCCCTGTTATGACACTCTTTGTACCAACTGAAGGCATTGTAAGGTATGTGTAAAAGTCACAATACTCTCTGAGACCCACATGCTTACATGGACCCACAATTTTATTTATTTCACTAAGCCCAGAAAGAGACAACATCTCCTTTATTGGCTGTGTCCAGGTATAAAATTCATCACTGTCCTTGTGAACGGGGTCCAGGAATTAGTTATCACCTTGCTTGTGAATAAATTCATATACAACAGTCAAAATTTCAACTGTGAACTGCATTTATGACAGATTCAGGGCCTCAGCAGTGGGCATTGTCCATATGTGAGGGTGACAAACTTAACTTTTGACCAGACCTGCATGTGAGTCACAATTTAAATTGTGTGGTGAGCCTTATTTTGAGATATTCTGTACCACCTAAGAGAAATATACCATATGCTAGCATTTAATAGTCCTCTGATATTTCTAGGCAGAAAACCCAGGACAATATCCATTGCCCCAAGCCTAGCCATAGTCAACATTTTCTTTTGGCTTGGTCTAGGTACAACAGTCAACACCATGCTTGTGACCTGGTTCCAGATATTAGTCACCATTCAGCCTGCTGTCAGTCACAGTTCCAACTGTGGACTGCACTCATATGTGAAGGTGACAATCCTAGGCAAAAAGGAACAGTCAAGAAAGGACAGCCACATCTACTAGGTGCTGGGCCCAGTAATATGTCACAATCCCCCAGGTAAGCAGGTCCAAGGCAAGAGAGATGGATCATATTAGCTATGTGATGGGACAATAAATATGTCACAATCCCCCTTGTGGGCTAAACCCAGGCAGGAGAGGAATGTCACATCACAGAGGTGATTTCTGTGTAAATATTTTAAAATTCCCTCTGAGAGAATGACCCAGGCAGAAAAGTCATATCACTGAAGTGCTTGGCCTAGGTAAGTGTCACAATCCAAATACCTTACTAGACCCAGGAAGAAGAGTAAAATTAATCAGGTACTGGGCAAAGGCATATGTCAAAATTACACCCACCGAAAGATCCAGAGATCAGATTCACAAAAGTGCGATTGGGCTGGCTCCAAATACAACAGTCAACACCTCTTATGAGTTCTGTCCATGTACCCGAGTCATAATCTCAACTGGATCTGTGCAAGAAAGCCTCATCCTCATGTGCCAACAGTGTTTTAATAGGAAAGACACAGCTTCACAGGGGTGTTTAATCTTGATACATACAAAAGTCATCATCTTACCTATGGTCTGAAATCCATATGAGAGTCACAGTTTCAACTTTCATTTTTTTCCAGGTGTTATATTCAGAACCTCAAAAATGAGCTGTGTTTATGTAGGAGGGTGATTATCCTGTCATGAGTGTGCAGACAAGAGTCACAATTTTATCTGTGTGATAGACCCTGTTTCAAAACTTTCTTTGCCACCTGAAGGCATTATACAATATGCTTGAGTGTTGTAGGACTCTGCGACCTTTGTACAAGAAAGAAACCCAGGACATTACCTGTCACCCTAAGCCTAGCTACTAAAGTCAACATCTCTTCTATTAGATAGGTCCAGGTATTAGAGTCACACTTGTGCCTGTGAACTAGGTCCAGAATTGAGTCACCATTCTATGTTTGACCAGATTTACATATGGTAGCCACAATTGCAACTGTGGACTTAATCTGCATGTGAGATTCATGAGCTCACTAGTGGGCTCCATTTATGTATAATGGTGACAATCCTAAACTTTCTACAGGTTATGCTTATGAGAGTCACAATAGCACCTGTGTTCTGATTTGTATTATGATACTCTCTGTACAACCCAAGGGCTTC